ATTAGGAAACTCATTTTCTAAAAATGTGATATTCCTATATTCAAATTTAGTTACAGTTCCATTATCATTTTCACCAATAAAAACATAACCCTTTGATTGCTCAGAGTGTCTTATAAAGATACATTTCTTCTCTCTTAGACATAATTTTTCATATTTATGGGAATCATCATGGACATATGCAGCTGACCCCTATGATCTTAGGATATTTAAATCCGGTTTGTGTTTTATTCATAACTCATTAGGTGTGGAAGTAACTAATTTTAAGGGCACGTGATTAAGTATGAAGGATGCAATTAGCAAAGCATCCCCCCAATAGGAGATTGGAAGATTTGCTTTTGCTATTATCAACCTAACCATATCTAGAAGAGTCCTATTTCTTCTTTCAGCAATTTCATTCTGTTGTGGAGTATTAGGAACAATTAGTTGTCTAATTATTCCTTTTTCTTCATAGAGTTCTTTAAATTGACCAAACAAGTATTCATGTCTTCGGTTAGTTCACAATGCTTTAATTTTACTGTCCATTTGATTTTCAACCTCATTAATGTATTGTCTAAAGCACTCAAGAGCTTCAGACTTTGTGATATGAAATAGACATAACCAAACATGAAAGTAAATACCAAGCTTTGTGTTTTGCCCTTATACTTATAGGATCACATATATTAGAACGAATTAATTGCAATAGATTTTTAGCCCTAACACCTTTACTGAAAGGGTTTTCTCATTGCTTTACTAGCTAGATAATTTTCACATAAGAATATTTTCATGTTTGTAATTGGACTTAGCATTCCTTCTTTATCTAGTTTAATCATTCTATTTTGATTAATATGCTATAATCTAGCATGCCATATATTCATATCAACATTATTGGAAGAAGTGGTAAAGCAATCATGAAAGTAAACTTTGTCAATAATATCCATAATAAAGAATTTTTTCAAAATAAAAGCACAACCATAAAAGGTTAAAATGTACATAATGTCAGCAATCTTGTCATGAAAATTAATTACAAACTCAAATTCTAAAGACTAAGAAATTGAAATTAAGTTTTCTTGAATGTTCAGTGTATGTAAAATATCGTGGAAAATTAAGGTTGTTCTACCTCGCAAGATCAACTTGCAAGTTCTTATGCCTTTTACCTCGATCCTCATGTTGTTGCCAATGTAAAGCCACTTGCTTTGATTTGGCAACTGATGGTACTCTATGAAGGATCCACGATCCTTACTAACGTGATCTATGGAGCCTGAGTCTACAATCCAAGAAGAGAAAACAGTTTCTATTAGAAAAACATTACTGAAAACATAAGAAAAATGTAAATTCACATAATTCATAAGTACCTAAGCACGTCCACTTTGCTCAGGATAATCCTTTGCAAAATGGCCCATCTTTTGATAGGCAAAACATTTGACCTTTTTAAGATTAATTTGCTTTTTGCTGCTCTTCTTTCCTTTCTTCTTCTTGAAAGGTTATTTGTCCTTCTTTATTTTGGGGCCACTCTTATTACCTTTCTTTTGTTGCTTCTTGCCTCTCTTGGGCTTAGCATTTGAAGGACCACCTTTCTCAATAAGGTAAGCTTGTCTCGATGACTTGTAAGCCTTTAGACGTTTAATCTTTAACTGTAGGTGCTTAGCCACATCGTTAAAGTTAACGACGTTTTCATTGTGAGTTAACTTTTATATGCTTCTAGCTAGTTAGAAGCAGTTTGATTACAGCCTGTACTTGTTATTTATCAAACAAATCGTGCCCGGCTTCTTTAAGTTCATGGATCATGTTGGCCATCTCCCTAAGATGCTGTCGTATAGGAGTATTCGGCTTTAGTTTATAAGTGTCAAGCTTAATTGTAAGCCTTCTCAGTTTGGTGGTTGAGGTACCACTAAATTTTTCTTTTAATGTGCCCCACATGGCCTAGGCAGTGGAGTTCTCAAATTCGCACATCAAATCATCTACCATAACACTTAGAAGTGTTATTCGTGCGATGCTATTTTTCAATTTTCTTGTTATAAATGCCTCTTGGTCTCTCCTATACTGAGCCAAGTTTCCTACCTCAGGCTTGGTCATGACCACAATCAGTGGTTCAATAGCATTTTGTTCTTTTAAAATATATGACACCTTATGATGCCAGATATCCTAGTTATCTCTATTTAATTTGTCGCCCTTATTCAATTCAGCGATAATACTTTTTGTTACCATTTTTAATTCTGAGACAAAACTATCCCACATTAATAGTTTTCTATATTAAACTAAGAATAAAATATTTATAAGAAACATACAATATCTTATATTTGTATGCTTTTTTATTAGAGTGATAACAACTCTATTAGGTCAACGATCAAAAGGCTACGTATGTATCTCCCATCACATTGATTCTAACAAAATCACTATCATCTATAAATAATTTTACAAACAATTTTTTATAATCATTATATATAGCTCTTAAATGACTTATCACTTTAGAGCTCCCATTCAAACAAAGTATATATAAAGCAATAAAAAAAACATGTTTCATAAATCATCAAGGTCTTAATACAACATAACTTAACTAAAAACACATTCTTGAAAAATAAAAAAATACTCAAGGTACAGACCTAAAAAAGACAATTCTTAATTATGTCTTTACATTTTTCTTGTACTTTTATCCCCTTGATGGCTCTATTTCATAGAGACTTTCTTGAGTATGACTTGTTTTGCTTGTTATGTTGCACAAATTCTTTCTTAAGTTTTTTGAAAATTTCTCATACAACCACAGCTTGTTTTTCTTTTGTTATGAAGCTTGGAATATGCTCTCATTATTGGAGAAATTTGATCTAGTTTTTTAATTCTTTGAGCTTCTCTTTTTGCTTTATTTATGATCACTGAGGGTGTGAAAGGTTGTTCCACATCTTTATCTTTATTTTGAAGATTCTCATCACTCTTTGATTCATATTTTGGTTCCGGCAACACGCGCACCTTTTTAGGCCCTTTCAACACATTTTTGAGATCAACATTGGGATCCTCTTCAAGATCAGAATTAGAATCCTCACTTTAAGGTTCGTACTCTTCCTCCTCCTTTTTGAAGGGTTCGGGTCGAAATCCTCACTAAGAGGCTCATAATCTAGTTCATCCAGATACTTAATACCAATAGAATAATTTTGTAAATTATCAGTATTGCTAGAAGCTCCTTGTTTCATATTTGCCTAAAAAAATTAAAATAAAAAATTTAAATTTTTTTATTAAACTTATAAAATGCACTAGATAATTCAAAAAATAAATTCTTATTTTGTCTCTAAAATAGGAGAATTATATATCAAATGAAGATCTCAAATTTAGAGATTTTTTAAAACAAATTGTGTCCCAATATGGTCCCGTACATGCCCCAAGAGCAATTCTGAATTAAGAAATTTTGAAAAAATTAAAAAAAAGAATATTTCACTCTCGGAGAAGGCTCGTGCACCACACGCGCCACCTTATCATGCTCCAATGGTGACAACGCTGACAACTTTTGGGTAGAGTCGACCACGTGTCGATGGAGGATCTCGTTAGGTCTCATGCGCCAAGTGTCCAAATATATATATATATATATATAATTTTTATTTATTTAATTTAAATTTTTTTTATTTGGGTCAGGTTTTTTGTAACCGACCCATGGATCCACACCCAAAACAAACAAATCATCATATGTTCTTCAAACACAAGAAATGTAGCCCAAAAAAAATCGATTGCTTTGATACCAATATAAGATTTTGAGGAGGAAAGCATACCTATTGAGTTGGCCGAGCACTATACTGTATGCAAGAACGAAGTTACAGATTGAACTCGATTCTTAAACTCACAATAAATGCACAGACGAAAGAGAAGGTTTTCTTTTCAAGTAGGAAGCATATGAGAGTCTTTTCTGTTTTGTGTGTATCGAACCAAAAGCTAGAAAATGCTCAATTCTATATGCTTCAACTAATCCCTTACATGAACGCTTTTCATGGACGTGGAGGTTATACTGAAACCATTCCTTTTAAATAATCATTTGAATAATAGGGATATTTGCATATAAAGGCCCAGAGCATATTATACTTAAGGACTTAGACCTTTTCATATTCACAATAAAAGCCCTATGGGCTTATATTCTAGACCAATCCACCAAGGGTAGATAACCCAATACTTTGATGTTGGTAGTCCAATCCCAGTTAGTGTCGTCTATGTGATCCAGGTTAAAGTCAGCTATCCGATTTGGGTCAACATCGACTGTCCAGTTCTTGTCATCAATAGTTGTTAGGTCTTGGTCAACATTGTCATTAGTATTCCGGTTATCACCTATGATGCTGATGGATATTGGTTAGAGGCAATGATATCGAAGTTGAGAAGGTGGCGAAGTCAACTAACAAACGTAAAGGAAGAGAGAAACTTCCATTAGAATTAAGAAATAATTTGAAATTACAAAAGGATTGAGATAGGATTTAAATTTTGATTTTACCTAAATTCAAATCCAAACATTTTTCATTACTCGAATAATAGATTTGGCACAAATTTAAATTCAAATCCAAATCTATGCACATCCAAACATAACATTGAAGTATTTGAATTTATTTTTATAAAACCATGTTATGATTTTTAAAATTGATCAATTTGATTATCCAAATTCCAAACATACACTATTATTTTATTGTTATTATTTTTTAATCCACACATCTTACAGCTATAAACATTTGTTTGCCTTTACTATTTTAGACTCTTTTACACTTTGACTATGTAATGCAAGTAATCAATCTATACTTTGAGGTCACCTAAGTTGATATCATTATTAAATAAATAAATTCATATAATAACAACACACATAAATTGTGGCCATATACATAAATTTTTTTTATTTGTACGTACGTACGTACGCACACACACACATATAGATAGGTGTGGTCATATCGACGTGACTATATATTTAGCACGTGTGAAGCCACCGAGGCAGCCGCGTGGCTCGCCGCACAAAGGTCCAAGACTAGAGTTGCAAAGCTAATGATAAATGTGGCAATTTGCGAAGAAAGCCATGGCAAAAGCATCCACGCAAGTCCTAGTGACTTTTTCTCGGTACTTATCTTCTTCTCCACTGCGACCTCTGGAGTTCGACAGTGTTGTTTTTTTATTTTTGTTTTGATGATTGATCTTTCCGCTTGAGTTCCTGGCTAGAATCCTGAAATCAATCCTGAAATCCCAGAAAGAAAAAATACGTAAAGATGGGGCCTAAGCTTCCTTTGACCCACTTGAGAATATCGCCTGCCTCTAATTGTTATTTGATTTCTTACGACAAGGGAGAGTTTTGTAAATACAAATTCCCTGCAAGAATAGTTTCAGAGCAGAAGTTCCCGTTCAAGTTCGTACGACAATCTTTGGGGGATAGATGGAAGCTGAATGATATAAGCGCTGGTATCAGATTTCCTTCTTTATCTGAATTTTTGTTTTGAAGTATATTTGCTAGAATTACGGTAGTGTAATAGCGTGATCATACGTTATCATAAAATGTTCAGAAAGTAAATTCGTAGTCTCTTAGCTCATACATGTTACTTGTCAACTCATTTTGATAGTTTCCTAGTCCCCAGTGTTCATTGTTCCTGATACGTACTTTGAAAATAAATCAAGAATAATCAGTTAGTTAGTTACTCTTGGAAATTGGAATAAATGATAGGGAACCTAATTGTAAATCAAAGGTTATGTTTTCGGATATAATCAGAGTAATATTCAGATTCTTCTATTCTCTCTTCTTCTTCTCTCTCTTTCTCGTTTCTGTCTCTCTTTATCCTCTTTTCCTCTATCTTTTCCTATGCACCAGTTCCATTGCAGCAAAGAGCGCAAGAGCCCTACCACTGGTGGCCAGTAATGTTTCAACTTTGGACTGGAGTTGTTGGAAGTTTCTTAGCTATTTGCCATTAGGATCTTCTATTAAATTATGACAAGTGGATTTTTTTTTTTTTAAAAGATCCGATCATTTAATGACATAAAAGTCCACTTATTATGTTTTTATTAGTAAACTTGATAACAAAGATATACAAGTTGTACTCAAGTTTTCTCCTCTAGTCTCAACCATGAGTATGTGGTATTGGATCAATGACGGAGCTAATTGATGAGAGAAACACGCATCGCTGACAAAGGAACTGACTAGAATGTAGTTAAAGATTAGGAAATCAATCACTTGGTAGCCGTATTAATGGGATGCTTTATTTGAACAAAAATAAAAGGAAAATGCTACTGCAATAATAGTTGTCCTGCTTGGGCTTGGTCATTTGCATTGAACTACCAAGCTCCACTTGTATTCTCGAAGAGGCAAGTGCCAGCTGATCAGGCGACTATTTTTTTCCCTTCTTTATTGGTTACATATACTTTTCACTTTTCTAACTGTTGGTGAAACCCTTATTACTTGCGCCATCCATTTCTCAACTGAATTTATCAATCAGCAAGCACTGACAATAGTCAAGCAGTCATGACATGGATGTGCTCGATTATTTTTCTTCTTGAAGTCTGGGTTTTTCCATCAGACTATTATTATTATGCATTAATATATTCACCACACGCCCTATTTTTGGCTGTTCTCTAATTTTAAACTTCATTTCTCTTGAAAGGCTCAATCCAAGAAAGAATGAATATATGGCTATCAAAGACCCAAGACTTTTTGAATGAAGTGTCTTCCCCGCTTGCAAATCTGGTCAAAATAGAAAGTCTGGTCCTAAAGATGATCTTGAATTTCAAGTTATGGAAGACATATTTATGGTAGAGCAGACAATAGACCGCAGAACAGAAAATGGCATTCTTTCTCTAGCTGCTGTTACATGTATTGAGCAATTTAGCAGGTGAATGCGTGCGCTACATTTTTATCTTAGGTAATACCTTTATGTGTTAGTCCTTGAGAAAATGTTTAGGCTGGATTATGTATCGACAAGTGCAAGACTAAGCAGTAAATTACTAAAATGCTGCATGACACAGGAACTCACCCTTGGAACGTGCATACAAAATTACAGCATACTCTCCAAGAGTACGGTGGAAAAGCAAAATAAAAAGAAAAGAATATTGGAATTTGTTATCCTAGTTTCTATCATTGATATCCTGGTGATTTTTCGTATTTGTCTTTCTCACATATTCACATAAATTTCTTTTTCCTTCAAAATTAACATATCTGTCAGATTATGTGAACCAAAAATAAGTTGTGAGATTCAATTAAATGATTTGTTTTCCCCCAAAATTTTCATGGGAATAGATTTTCCAAGTAATACTGTCAGTTGGAGAAATTAATTTTAGTGGAAAATTGAAGCATTGGAAGATCCTTTGATCTGTTAATTCCGAGAGCATTTCACTTTCAAATTTTCTATTTATGTTTCCTTGACATAATTTAATACATTCTGCTTATTAATGAAGTTTGCCTTATGAAAAGGACTGCATCTCTAACGTAATATTCTATTTTCTTCTTAGTGTATGCCTATCAAACTGATACAAAAATTATTATTTGACTTTTTTTTAATAAGATATGCAGGATGAATGGGCTGACTGGGAGGAAAATGCAGAAAATTTATGAAGCTCTTGTTCCTGATTCAGTATACAGAGATGCCCGTAATTTGGTTGAATATTGCTGCTTTAGGTTCTTGTCAAGGGATAGCTCTCATGTTCATCCTTCCCTAAAGGTACAGTATAATCTATGTAGTGATGTGGAAATTTTTTAATATTCTGTTTTGAATAGTACAAGGGTAAACATTTGGAAGTTATTTCAAGGGGAAAATAGTAAGATTTCAGTGCAGAGAGAGAGAGAGAGAGAGAGAATAGAGCTTGAAAAAGGATAAGATATCCTCATTTGGGTGTTTCGTTTCATCTCTCATTACAAACATGGGGAAGCATATTTTGTTTATTTTATTCTATTTTTTCTTCCTGAAAGGTCTAGATTTCAATGCGTGCCTAATGATATTTGTTGTTTCTCTGTTGCTGTATATTGTATCTCTTCAATGCAACTTCTTTCTCTCATCAATCTCTCTTCTTTTCTCTTCCTGCTCTGGTAAAAATATCATCAGGCTTTATTTCAGATCAGCGATGACTCATATCAGTAAGTAATATGAGGTTTGTTACCCTTTTGGTTAGACTTGGTAGATATTGAATTCATATATGATGTTCTGATTGAGGGGAGGCATGGATTTTTTTCATCAGATTCCATCTCACCATTGATGAAGATGCCTCAAACTAATCAGGCATCTGGTTAGCAACACAGTGAGTCTGGTAGTATATAGTTGTGCTTTTTCATCTCCAGCCTCCTTGCCAGCTGAAGAAGCCCATGTGAGAGTCCCCATTCTTTGATAGCCAACCATAGCCATGCCCTCCTCTTGTTTGAGGAGGTTGTGCTCAAAATCCTTTGCAATTTTTACAATCAAGATTTGTCTTAGATTTTGTTATAATGTTATGAGATGCATTGGTTTAGTCACTAGTCTTTGTTGTGCTTATGAGATGCATTTGTCTTAGATTCACCCTTATCAGGTTTGCACTTTCTGCCATTATGTTAAAGACAGTATGCAAATCTCACTTGGATTGATCATTAGATTTTACTGTTTACTTGTCTTTGTGTTGTTTTACCTCCTCCAGGATGTAGATTAAATATATAATTTTAACTGGTGGTGAGGATTCTTCTCTCTTTCTCTCACGTGCAGGCCTAATTTAATTCGACAAAACTTCATTCATGATGTTTGCAGGAACCTGCTTTCCAGAGGCTTGTATTCATAACCATGCTTGCATGGGAAAATCCTTACAGTGATGAGCTTTCAAGTATCTCAAGAGAAGGCTTCTTTCCAGGTCATTTCTTTTCTTTATCAATTCAACCAATGTTAGAAAAATATATATATGTTCTTCTAGTTGCTTATGGAAGTTATTAGGAAAAATTTGGCTCACCTGAAGCTCAGGCGGCACTTCAGAGAATAAAGTGCCAGTGGATAGCCATTGATGAGGAACTTATGCAATGTTTGGTAGGTAGAAAGTGTTTTCTAGATAGGAAATGGAAAATACACCTATTCTAGGTACATCTCTCATTTCCTTTCTGGAAAATATTTTCCATGTACCAAACATGTTTTTGAGGAAGTATGTTTCCACAGATTAACATGTTACTGTCAGGCCTCTTGTTTGTTATATGTTTTTATATGATTAATTTGTCATCATGGTCGATCTAGCCCATATTACGTGAGCTTTCTATAGAGGATCTGTTTCATGTTAGGAGACATAATACTTCAATTTGAAGTCTCCCATGCTTTGATTTTACTTACTTGACTTAATGTTGGACTTTCAAGGATGGTAAACACAATCCATTGGACTGAATGTCACTCCTACTAAAGTTCATTTTCTCCCCTAACTCTATTCATGCCTGCATTTTTGCCTTTTCCTTTGGCAATCTGTTTCTTTATTTTATGCAATTTTTTAGACTCTCTCTCTGCGAAGGAGAGAGAGAGAATGCATTTTGAAAACTTTTTATATTGAAGTTACCAAAAGATGAATCAGCCGTAGACTGCAGTAGGCATTGACTGAGAATTAGCATGTATAGGATAGAAAGAAAATTTGTAGTAAGATAGCTCAGCCGAATTATTGTATGATTTAATCATTGATATCTTGTTTAGAAATTTTGGACCAGGTTTTCTCATATTTTATTAGATTTTTTTTTTTGGTCATAGTTGTTTTATGTGATGATTTAGAGAGAAGTGAGAGAGAACTTTGGATAATAATTTCTTATTGGCTCTGCAGAGTAAGCTCGTCACGGAAGAGGCTTTTGTTCATATTGCTCCTGCTGTCGCTGGTGTGGTTGACCGCCCCACAGCACACAATCTATTCAAGGCTCTAGCCGGTGATGAAAGGGGGATCTCTTTGGGCTTGTGGCTGACTTACATTAACGAACTTGTCAAGTGAGTTTAATCTTTTGGTTGGAGATATGATAAATCTATTGAGAAGACATGCGAGCAACATGTGGTTCTGATCACACAAGTTATAGGAAGATAAATGGACTAAGAAATTACCAATGTCAAGCTCACCTAGTGCAGTAGGCACTCTGTATTTGGATCTGGTTAGTTATGGTCATTAAACTGAAAAAAAATGGAATCTCTTTTCTCTTCCTTAGATGACCTTTTTTGTCATGAAAGGAATTTCAAAACTATGTCCCCTTTTATTACATATGGTGGATGCTCCTTCTCTTCTAGTTTGTTCTTTTGTTTGTTCCTCTGAACTTCTTGTAATCATGTCACTTCAGACAGCTTTCCTTGTTATTCAATTTTAGATCTAGTACACTGAATGTTCATGCCAGAGATATCTGCTTGTCAGGCACATCTTTTGTTAGAAAGATGACAGGAATTTTTACTTGCATTGTCTTTTAATGGCTTGTTCCATCCACATGGTTGCTTGATTCTGTTGGTATGCTCTTTAAAAGATATAAACAAGCACTTACTCCAGCACTAGTATGCTCAACTTATACTGAGGTTTCTGTAGAGTGTATGAAGGACCCAAGTCGTATCATATCCCAGAGTTTCCTCAACTTTCTGAGGAGAGAATTCTATGCATTGGTTCCAACAGGAAAAGGCCTGTATTGAAATGGGAGAAGAATATGGCATGGCCTGGCAAGCTCACTCTTACCGATAAAGCCATCTACTTTGAGGTATTTCATAATTTCCTGAGATGCTCATATGATAGTTTTTCATAGACTTTGATATTTGCATGATTACATCCTTTAAAATATGTAAGCTATGAAATACTCTGATCTATTTCTTTGGCTATTGCCACAATTTTTACGAGGTCATCATCTTACCATTGAACGGAAGGGATCTCAAAGGAAAGATGTCCTACGATTAGTTTTGGTTGTATGTCATGGCACAGAAAGTTAAATTTTAACAGGAACAGAGTTGAATTCTGTGATAGCCAAAATATTTCTGACTAGTTACATGCTTGGCTTCATGCCATGATTTTCCCCTTTTCCTATATGGCTCTTCTTAAGTTTCGGGTCCTTTAGCATTTATTTACTCTAGGTATGTTTCTTTCAATGCTTGCAACATAGTTGCTGGTAACAAAGACCACCTTGGCCTGTCACATTTCAATGGAAACTTTTTTAATGAACAACAAATTTGTGTGATGAAAACGATTAAAGGAAAGTGAAATATGAAGACAGACTGCTCAAAGATAACCTTTCTGATGTCATTTGTTAGCCAACAGTAACAATTTCTGTTCATACCTGAAATTCTTTATTGATACATAAGTATACACCAAGGATTAAACATTGGACTGGCCATTGAATCAGCTAAAGGTATTGGTTTAATGATCAATGGTCGGACTGTGGTTGAATGATGGCTGGACTGGTCATAATTAATTTAATATATTTTTAAATTTATAAGGGAGAATCCAATACATTCAGAGGATTTTATGAGAAATTGATTGATTTACGGAAGCACATAATTTAGAAACAGAAACAGCAAAATAGAGAAAATAACTAGGAACAAAATGAAATTCTCCTTAGCATTCAAGACTTGAGAGGCTAGAGAGCTTTTCTCGCAATAGCTGAATTTTTACTTTCCTCTCATTGACATGCACTTCCCATATGTATATGTATGTATGTTTGCATATATTCTGTCCTAGTTTCAACTCTCTTACACTCGCACTTCTCATAGCTACAGCAATGTGACTTATCATTGGTCCTTTAATTATGGGCCCATCAGAAAACAAACTTGGAGAGTTGGTTGAAAATGTTACAATTATATATTGTAAGGATTGATACGCATTGTACGCACTAGCTAAGTCACTTGAGTTGGTGAAATAATGAATTGATGATAGATCAAAATGCAAAAGATTCTGATAAAAGCAGTAAACATCTTGTATGATTGACCTTTTTCAAACTATGTTTCAGACCGTTGGCTTACTGGGAGAGAAGAAAGCCATGGACTGGATCTTTCATATGAAGGATTACAGGTGGAGAAAGCAAAGTTGGACCTTTAGGGTCTTCTCTTTTGACTCTGCTGTTTCTGTTTCCTTGGCTCAGAGTAAGTAAGAGCTTCAACAGTTAAGGAATCATGTGTTTATGGTGTGATGCAAGATCAGTAGCAAGAATAGAGGAAAGGAGGGAAATGTAGAAGAAATAAGGGACAATTAAATGACCTTTATTAATCAATCAAATTTCAGCTGTCTAACCCTAGCTATTAAGGGTCTTATATCTATATATATTGCCCAAAATAAAGGGTCTTATATAGAGCCCATTAAAATACAAGATGATTTGACAATTTAAAATACAAGATTATAGGAAATTCCTATAAATGATTCAATAAAATCCTAACAAATTGTTAAAATAAATCAATGTATAATACATCAAATCGAAATCCTAATATAGCTCTTTTTTTTTTTAATGCTAAATAATCTCTTTAATAATTTCTCATTTGGTTCTCATGCAAACAAATCACGTGTAGTTGATAATCCAACAAGCTTTCCAACGTTCATGTGTGAGATAACTCAAAAAATTTGCCGTTTCTTCTCTGGTCAATTAAGAGCATGATTGTGGTTTACAATTATACAAATTCTTCAT